ATTACTTTAGACCATTTTGACACTTTATTAAAAGATTAAGTATTTATAGTTAGTTATATGGCTTTTCTTAATCAGGGAACTCGAGATGGGTTCATGCCATGGAATGGTCTGGTCAGCAAGCTTTCACCTCATCGCCTGAGAAGCCATTTATCGTCGATGGTAAGCAGGCGGGAGAACTGAAGAGTCATGGCCCTCTGAGTTTCTTAAAGGTAACAAATACATATTTAATTCTCTACTCATGTGGTGGGTGTTGAGAAAATAATATTTTTTGTTTTCCTGCAATTATGACTTGTTTTTCTGCCAGGTTCATGACGCAGGACACATGGTTCCTATGGATCAGCCCCGGGCTGCATTGGAGATGTTGAGGAGATGGATGAAAGGAGACATTGCTGAAGCTGCATCAGAATCTGAAGGCCTGGCTGCTGACATTTGACAAACACCTTAAATTATATGTTCTTGTATAAAATTTGATGTGTTTGAGGTGTGATTCTCTTTTTAGGAAGTTTCTTTAAAAGAATTCATGATGTAAAAAAGGATTAATGACATTAAAATAAGGTCTTTGTTGTTTTTCCTAACTAATTCATGAGATTGACTGAGACTTACTTTATTTTTATGATTGAAGTTTTTCATGGGGGTTTGGATGGAGATGGATGGTCAACTCAAATAGGATAATATGAGTTTCATTTTTAGGTTAGTATAGTGGATGTACCTTGGAGATCTTTTTTATCAGGAAATTTAATTGGAATTCATGAGTTGCCTTAAAGATTTGTCAAGTGGATCTGGGTGATAGTGTATTAAGGGGCTATGCTTTATAAAGTTTAAACATGAGGCCCATAGTTGATCATAATTTAAACGTGTAAGGGTGTTCTATCGAAGGTATGGTGTGATAAGCTTTGGTATGGCTTAGTAAGTTCATGTCAAAGTTGGCTCGGGAATTGTGTAACTGACTGCATTCAGAGGTGTTAATTTGTGATCGTCTCTTGTCAAGGCGGTTCATAATCAATTTTATGGCTCATTGGAAAATTTTAGATTTAGCTTAACAAAGGTGGATACCATCGTTCTGAAATTTTTGAACGGCGGCGATCAAAGGTCGCGTCATGGGTGGGTTGTGCATCAACAACCAAAAAATCTTTCATAATAGAAATTGACGGTCACCTTCTCCCCAGATGACAGATAGCCCAATTATATTCAGAGCATCCTTTCGTTTGCTAGAAAACCTATATAGCATGTTGGGGTGTGAACGATCCGATTTCGAGTTGATCTAGGGCCGGCTTGAAATCGGATCGAAATATTTTTGACCAGATCGAAATCGGATCATGGATTGATCCGGTAAATTTCGATCTGACCCAACGTGGATCGATTCAATTTTTGAGCCGACTCGAATTGTAAGCGAGCCGGCTTGAATGTTATTTTTGGCTCATGAACCAGATCGACCGGCTCGAATCTACCTTGGCCGCCTGACCCGCCCACTAGAAAAAAATAATAATTTTTTTTTGTGAAAAGAGAGTACTACCCCTACTACTCTTCTCAAGCAAAAAGGGCCTCACCAATTGAGCTAGTGATGCATTGTGCATATAAAACAAAAAGGGCCTCACCAATTGAGCTAGTGATGCATTGTGCATATAAAACTAAAAATTTAGGTGTTATATATGTAAATACATAAGAATTTATTTCGATCCCGATCCAAGCCGAGGACGGATCGAAATGATTTGATCTGAGCTAAAATTCGATCTAATTTTCAAGTGATTCACGATCTTCAACTAATTTCACATCCCTAATAGTAGTCCAGTCAGCATAACCAGGCAATCAACTAACAGATACATTTTTTCAAAGACTGATTTTGAACAGTATATTACCCGAATTGTCTACGTCAATCAATATAATACTTATCTGTTAGTTATCTATGATGTCATTGTAGTGATTCCCCGCATAGGAAAATCCCCATTATTAAAAGGTAATTGGGGAATGGATCTTCCGCTTCGATGCAGTATTTAAACTGCACTCTCTTTAGCCCTTGTGCCTGTGCAACATTTGCTATCGCAAGCTCTAAATTTCTCATGTCCAGTATCTCCTTTTGGAGCTGAGCGATGTATGCTCAGAGGCTCTCATTTGACCCCAACTTAGCATGCCATAGGGCCTCTAAGTCCTTGTGGGGCTTGAACTCACCAATGGAAGTGATAAGTTTTACTGAGAGGCCATTAAATCATTTTCTTGAAAACCTTAAGAAGGTATATAGTCGACCCAAAGGAATTCATGTGATTGACTTGATCGCTCCGATCGTTGTAGGGTTCCAAAAATGAAATCTTAAACTTCTTGAGAAGTTTTGCATCAATAATCTGAAAGGATAATGCATCCTTGGGCCGACGATAGACTTCCATTCGCCCCACTTGTGGTATGCTCCCTGGCATGAACCCAACATTATCTTAGTATTGGGATTCTTGATCTCATTCGATTCCCTGAGCTATCTGATGGTCTTAGGGTTCAGGTGCTCGAAGATTTGGTTCTAGAGGAGCCCGTGCTCTCCCCTCAAGTACAGCATGGTCCAATTTTATTAGTTGTCCCACTATTCGATTATGGAGCTCCTGAATTTTTTGTTGCACAAATTCTCAAATGGACTTCATGTTAGAAAATTCCCCAAAATGTGTTCATTCTCTGTGGTGTGTTTCTCTTCTAGTTGACTGTATGATTCCACACTCACTGCATCTTTTCTGATGTCGAGTCCAAAAATGTCATATGGATCATACCTAAAGAACGAAGTGTTGGACGGGTAAGAGGAATAGAGTGAAGAGAGAAACAGAGAGCACAATAACACATGTCTTTTGGGAATGGATTCAATAGTACCATCTTGAAGGAATGACCATCCTATTTATCGATCATAAGAGATATAACATAAATTACAAATTTGTCCATATTTTAATGGGAATGTTACAAGTAATTAATGCATCATTACACTTTTACATATGTGTAACCGACTCTAGAATCCCTTAATATTTGTAACCGTCATTGGCAACTTTTTGTATTTGTAACTATATGTAGTGGGGTACTAATGATCCTATGGGGTTAGCATTTGGTTGTCTGATAATCGTTTGGTTGGACATAAAACGTTTAGTCTAGACCTAGGCATTGGGCGGGTCGAGCTTGGCATGGGTGACACTTATCAGTCAAAACGAGCTAGGGCCGTGTTTGAACTCAATTTTTATTTGAAAAATCATAAACAACCTCTTCACTCTATGTGGCGCGTCGGGTTGGGCCGGCCCACAAGCTTTAAAAGAAATATAATGTTTGAATGTGCAAAAAATTATTTCAAATCAAAGCATTTTTATTTGCTTAATTATATCTGAAAATAAAACCAACAATAAAAATCTTTGGCAAAAAATAGGACATTATATGTTGTTATTTCTATATTTCGGTGAGATGTTGAAAAATAGATACAAGGTGGTGCTAGCTTTGTAAATAACAATATTTCATATATCTAAAATCCAAATCTCAACTTTTGATAGGATATGATAAGATATCGCTTTTAAGTCCAATGATTTATGTAAATACATGAACATGAGCACTTTTGCTTTCCTAAGAAAGCTTTAGATCTTAAACTCGTCATAGAATAAATAAAACAATAAAAAGACTTACTAAGGGCCTATTTGGGGCAGCTGCAGCTTATTGAATAATATGCTGATAAGCTGATTAAAAATAATCTACCGATAAGCTAGGTGCGGTGGCTAATACCAAATCTTATTTTTTTTATAAAAGTCAGATTGCTGTTTTCGGCGTTTTGAAAATGCATAAGCTGTCAAAACTCAATTTATCCAAACAGGACAAGTGCGTTTTCAAAACGTCACCGCACCAAATAAGCTGCCCCAAACGGACCATAAGTCTGAGACTGGGATTTACATATTTACACATCTAAAATCCAAATTTCTCTGTATTTGGCGAACAAAAGGAAATGGTGAATAAGGTAATTAGCGAATGAGTAAATAATAAATTGGTATGTTTTTGGCTAGGTATTATGTGGGCATGCTGGATTTGGCTATTACAAGCTTTGACTAAGTCAAAGAGGGCTCGGGTCGGGCCCGCTAAATTTTTTATTTTTTTCACAACCAAGCCCACCCATTCTAAACATGCTTATGATTGACTCTTCAAACTTTCCGCCAAACGCTCAGATCTAATTCAGTCGATCGAATGTTCTTTGGTCAGTTATAAGGTTTTCAATCGGTTTCTTGAGAGAATACCTTATAGAGACCCTCTCATCATTAGTATGAACTTATGTTAACAGGCAGAGGTGCATCACCGTAATCTTATGGGCAATTATCCTTTAGACAATAGGTCTTTATAAAGGGTTGAAGAGATGTTCAACAGAAGCGACCATTGATTATCTTTATGAAGTTTCCCATAATTGGTTGAGGAATTTGATTGTACGAATGTCCTTTAGCTCATGTGCACAATGTTCCTTTGTTATGTTGCATTTTTTCCTTCAATGACCAATGATTCTGATTGAATAAAGCAACGCTTGATGCCTTCAGCTTTTGACTGTCTCGATGTGATCTCTTGGTATCTTCTCAGCGAGATCCATTAAATGCTCTAAAGATTCATGTGGTCATATTTTTTATGTACATAAGTAAATTCAGATTTATGAAATCCTGAGATAGTTAAATCTTGAAAATTGTTTGGTATTTCAACAGTAATTAAATTTTGATAAATTTTGAGAAACTGATTGAGAGTTTTGAAAATTATTTATTAGTGAAGATCCAAAAAATAAATATTAAATAAAAAATTTATGAATACCCAAGGTCTCAAAATGTATAAAAAATGAGCATTTATATTATTATTTATTAGTTATATAAATTAAT